GCAGCCGATATTAAGGGCTAAAGTAGAAGGCAAATGTTTTGAGAATGATGAGGGCAACAAATGTACATATGTGCTTGACACAATGGATGGTTGTATGGATTGTGACAAGAATTGTACGAGCCCCCCATAAAATAATTTTAAAAAATATTTTACACATATTTGTATGTGCAGATCTTCATATGCCTATAACTGGAATTTAAAATAAAGGAACCTCCATTTCTGAAAATAAATTCCAAATGGTTATTTATTACATATCAGCGATATACTATAAATATACTTCATATAAGCTTATGTATATATTAAAACCACACACACAAAGGTAAGTCAAAAAGCATTGCTCCTAGGTTTTCAACTCATGCGTGCCTGGGCTTATGCCAAGCGAAACGCGCCCAGCGTGTCCCTGGGCGAGGAGACGCGGAGGACGGCTCTCTCAGAAATGCTCTTGTTAGGGAGCCTCACGGAAAGAAAGATCCCTGCAAACAGTGGCCTGTGAGGGGAGGCTGGGTGGCAGCCATATTCAACGTGGAAGAGAGGTCAGCACAGAGGTGACGGTGATCGTTTTGAGAGATCCCAAAGATGTGGCCTTGGTAAGATTTTCTCAAAGGACGCAGCTGATCTCCGGTGTGTGTGTTACCAGGAAGACGTTTTAAGGAAACAGAAGCCTGCATCGGTGAGCAGAAAACCAGGCAAGTTACATCAAGGAAACCCCCCTCACAACAATGCATGAGCTCACACGTCCAGGGTGCACGGCCTGTCTGTGAGACTTCCCTTGGGGAACTCTGTCCTGTCCACCTCCAGCCCTGATCCTGTTCCTTCTGGCTTCTTTTTGATCCTCAGATTCAAAGGCAACTTCAAAGGAAAACGGTTCGAGGCCTTTGATGAAGCCAGAAGTGGTGTTTTGATGGGAGCTAAGTCAAAGAGCGTGGTTCCTGGGGGAAGGGCTGGAAGGATGGGAGCCCCACCTTCAGGAGCGTACACACCTAGGTGGAGACTGTGTCAAAAGAAAGCCTCAGATTTTGATATTGTTTGTTTAATAAAAGTTTCTGGGATTTTGTAGCGATACTTTTTTTTTGACTCACCCTCGTATAATCACTCATCCTAGGTAACGCAAAAAAGCAAAAATGTTGCGAGGAGGGGAGACCGAATAACTCGTATCATCTTGCTTAGCTCCAATTTCTAGTCCCCTACAATAAAGATGCATTAGTTTTGCATAATCAAAGTGAAAGTGGGGAGGCTCAAAGATTCAACCGCAGATAGAGCAGAACCCAAATACTTCCTCATCCTGCAAGCCCTGGCTTTGGCTGGTCCTCCCCAGAGAGCCTGCCCTAGCTCACAGGGAGGAGGGATCTCACCCTTCTTACTTCCTGGAGCTCTGGACCACGAGTTCTGGGAATAATGACAGATGTGTCCACCGGATCCAGTTCTCAGAAGGGACGGGACTTGCCCAAGGTCACAGCAAATGGCAGGTTTCTCTGCCACCATCCAGGCTGTAGGGAACATGCTGGGACAGGGGTTCCTAGCTTGGGGTCTTTTCCTCTTCGATGCATGACTTTTCCTGACCCACTGTCTTCCAGTGCTGACACACAAACTCATTTTCCAGATGGGCAAACAGAGACCCTGGGGAATGAGTGCGGGCCTGAGATGCAATACTGGGAGTCACCATGAGGTGGCGGCACCGGAGCTGGTGGCCACCTCTTCCTGGGTTTCACAGACCCTATCGCCCTCCGGTGGCCGTGGGAGGACACGTCCCCAGAGGCGGAGGAGAGCATGGCCTGAAACAGGTATCACTCACCTCTTGCAGGGGGCAAGGGAGGCCTGTGGGGGAAGCAGCCGGGCTCAGGGTGTCCCTCCTGGTGGCCTCAGGTTGACTGGACAGCCTCAAGCATAGGAAGCAAGTCCAGTTAGACTTTGGTGGAGACGGTGCGGGCTCCTTGGCCGCCTGAAGCAGCCAGTTGGAATGGGGCCGTGTTCCAACCATGGCCAAGCCACCAGCCTTATCCCCTTTCATGAAATGGGGCGGGGTGGGGACAGAAGCAACCTTATCCCGGAGCTTGTAAATGTGAAGTCAGGCTGGGGCCTGACTGCAGGGGGAAGCTGCGGCTGGGAACTGTAGCTGCTGGGCTGAGCAGGGGGCAAGGGGTGGGCGCCGGGGGACCCTCCCTGGCTATGGGCTGGGAACAGGATACCTGTCCCAAACTGGGCACATCTGGGGGTCCCTCTGGGGAACATGGGACAGAGAGAGGGTGGCTAGTCAACCTCCTTGTGCAGCTAAAAAACGTGCCCGGTAACCCAGGGGCTGGGGTCCTTCCGAGGGAATCAGGAAATACCTGTCTGTGGAGAGAGAGAGGCACAGAGAAAGCTGAGGGAGGGGGACTTCCCCAGGCCTAATCCCTGCCCCAGGGAGGGGGGCTTTGAGCCCACAGACCTCCCAAGACTCAAGGGCACAGTCACAGGCCTGGGGACAGATACCCGAGGCCCCTTAGACGGGCCTCGGCCTCCGTCTGGCCCTCCTCCCCACAGCCCCTTGTGCCCGGGAGAGGGCACATGAAAGGGGAGCTCCCCCGACCCAGGCCACATGAGCCGGTGCCACGGTGGCTGAGCGGGTGGGGGGGGAGCACCTGTGGGGGGAAGGAGGGAGGATAAAGCAAGCAGCAGTGTGATCCTGAGAGCGGAGGATCAGGAAGGACCAGGTCTGAAATCACCAGCTGCTTCTCGGGAGACAGACGGAGGGGTGGGGGTGTGTGTGTGTGTGTGTGTGTGTGTGTGTGTTTTCTATGAGTAGTGGCATGACTCAGCAGTGAGCTGGCGTGGTTTTGTCTAGGTTGTCGAGAAACTCTGGCAGTGCTGGCAGCAGTTCCAACCCACCAGCCACTGCACTGGAGGAGGACAGGGCTGTCTGCTCCCGTCAAGATTTCCAGCCTCGAAGCCCCTGTTAAACCAAACTACTGCCACCGAGTAGATGATGGCTCATAGTCACCCTATACGGCAGGGGACAACTGCCCTGTGAGTTTCCAACACCGGGTGGTTTCAAACTGTGGACTTTGTGGATGGCAGCCCAATTCATAACCACTATGCCACAGGGGCGCAAGATGCGTGGGAATGGATTTGCTGGCCAAGGGTGGAGCTTTGGTTTGGTCTCAGGGATCCAGCGCTGCTATGACAAATAGCACCAGTGTCATGAGGCAGAGGCAAAGCACTGCTCCTGAGACAACAGATCTGTGGAATGTGAAAAAAAAGAGACCTTCAACCTACACCCCCATTCTGCTTCTGTAACCCACTTGCTATCTGCTGGCCAGCCCTTTACAACTGCTTGTCTCTGCTTCCGTAAGATCTGGCTGGCTCAACCAACCACAGACCACCCCATGAATCTACGCCCCTTCCTGCTAAGAGGTCAGGGCTCAGGCTCTGGATACAAACCCACTGAGCCACGTGTGGACACAATAAAGTCCTTGCTCTTGTTAAAACCCACTTGGCAACTCCCTCGGAGCCGCCGGTGGTAACAGATGGCTTTAATAAAGGAAATGTTGCAGGAGTCCAGCCCGGCTGCTTCTGCTTCCAGGTTCCTGGGAGAGGACTATGGGTGTGGCAGTTACATTATCTCCCATCAACCTGAGTGAAGGGGTGGAGTCTAGCCTGTCAATCCGGTCTCAACCTGATTGACCCTTCCTTGTGGACATGGCCTTCTGAGGATTCTGGGAACTCCTGTCTTCCTCCCTGGAGTCAGGACACGCTATGCTACACATGCCTGTAGATAAGCCACATGGAGCTATGCTGATGGAGCCAGAGCCCTGAAGATGGAGGAGCCACATGGAGACCCACACCAGTTCTGAGATGCTTCCACCGCCATGGGATCCACAGGACTTCCCACCCACTGGCCTGTGATCGTGCGTCGGCATCACTGCATGTGTTGCCTGAGTCTGAAGGGCAATTCATAGACTGGTACCGGACATATGGGCTGATATCAGACTTATGGTCTTCATCTGGACTGGGCTGTTTTGTAATATATAATTACTCTTTGATATAAAACTCTTATACATATGAGTGTCCCTAGATTTGTTTCTTTAGTCCACCCAGACTAACACAGTGGGGCTTGTGTATACTGTACCCCATCTCTTCTCGGTTGGTTCCGTCTCTTGTATCTTGAGAGACTGGCTCAAAAGGCCCACTTCCATTAGCGCAACAAGGGCAGCTGGTTCCCAATGGGATTCCAAAACAGGCCTTGAGGGTAGAATTGCCTCCTCCTATTTCGGGGCAAATTCCTTCCATCAGCACCAGCTGACGCCAAGGCTGCTGCAAGTGACTCCCTCCAGACCACCTAGCAACCACTGCCACCCACTGTGAACGTGCTATGACAGGGCAGGTTGTTTTACACTCATTACGAAAATGCGTTTCTTTTCCATTCATAAAGAAACGAACCTTCCTGAGAGGGTCGGGGTGGTTTGCCCAGTCACGCCGAGAGGGATCCACGGGTGGGGGGTTAGCTCACTGACTGCTGGAAAAAGTTCACCCAGAGCTCACCCTCATCCTGGAAGCACAGAGCTGGCTTCTCCCCAGGGCTGTCCTCCCACCTGGGAAGGAGAAGATGGAAGCTCGGGCCCACTTGCTGCTGGAGGGGCTCTGGGCAGGGCACTGCGCTCTCTGATCCTGGCTCTCCTGGTCACAAGCCTAGGGCTGGAGCGGCCTCGGTCCCCTGGGTCAGGAGCTTGCTCTGAACTGGGCATCCTGTTTGTCAGGTCATGGAGCCTCCCAACTTCCCTGCCATGATGCCAGATGACAGACTGAGGCTCAGAAAAGGGGTGGTCACGGCCCCGGGTCCCCCGCTCAACAAGGGAAGGGCCAACTGACCCCTGGGCCTCCCTGTGGCACACTGAGGGATGTGTGACACGTGCCTGCTGAGCCTGAACCCCACTCCTGGCAGCAAGCTGCAGACAGACCGTGGTGACAGCCCAGTGGTGGCAGCCTCGGCCTCGAAGACGTGCATGCATGACTGCACCCACTGCACCGGGCGCTGCGAACCTTTATTGTGACCAGATGCGGTCCTGGGTGGGGGTTGTGAGTCAGACTCTTAGGGGGAGCCCAGAGAGTGGGCTCTCCTTCAAACACACCGCTGTCCAGTCCTGGCACCCAGGCTGGTCCAGGCAGGCCCGGGCAGGGGGAGTGTGTGGCCACTGCGATCTTCGGGTGGGTGGGGGTGCAGGAGGAGGTAGCCCCTCCCTGACTTTCCGGAGGGCTGTTGAACGGAAACTGCGCCTGGGACTTTTGTTTCCTGGGGTCCCAGGGCCTAGGAGAGGGCTGGGGGGTGGAGGGGCAGTCTCGGGTCTCACTCTGATGGAGGGGTCCCCCTGGAGAGCCAGGTGGCCAAGCCCCAGCATCCTGGTCTTCTGCAGCCACATCTTCCGCTGTGTGCTTCCGGGGCCGCTCAGTCCACTCATGGGGCCCCCGAGACGGCCTTCTCCATCCGCAGGTACCAGGGCTGGATGTGCGTGTGCCGCATGAGGTCGCCGAAGGCCTCCAGGCCCTCCATTACCCGGAGCACGCCGTACACCGCCTGCACAGGGACGGGAGGGGCACCGTGGGCGGCTCGGCGCAGGCTGCCTGAGCGCCTGCCAGCAGGTACGCCTGGGCTTTGAATGGCTGCAGCTTTCACCCACCCCGCCCCCACTCTCATTTCTGGGTGACACCCCGGGCGGAGGTCCCTCAGGGCCCCTCATTTCGGAGGGTTACCCAGAGAGCAGGAGCGATACTCCAGACCCAAGTCACCCGTCAAAGGATTCTGCCCTGGATGGCCTTTCAGGGTAGCAGCCTGGAGCAGTTGGGCCGGCTGCCTTCTGGCCCCAGGCCCCAGGATCCAGCCAGACCGGAAACCACCCCTAGGCTGGTGGGTGACAGGTCAGTGCCATTCCTGGGGTTTGCTAAGCCTTCAAGGGGGTTCTGTCCCAGGCCACAGGTGGAGCCAGCTTCCTCAGGGGGCACTCAGGGGGCTGCCAAGATTGTGGGATAACAAAAGACCTTCCCCCAGCTTTGTCTCCCCAAAGAGATGCCAAAATTTAGAGGCTGTTTATCAGGTCAGATGCTTAGAGATTCTCCCCAAGGCATTCAGCCTTCAGACTACGGGTCTGGCCCCACCTCAACAAGCCCCTCTGTCCGGTCACTCACCAGGTCAGCCAGGTTCGGCGTCTGGCCCCCCATGAAGGGCCGGTCTTTGCCCACGGCGGCCACCCACTTGTTGGCGGCTGCATAGAGGTCCTCACGCACGTCATCCTGGAGGTGGTGCCTGGGGGGGGGGGGGCAGGCCATCAGGGAGGTCCTGCCCCTCCCTCCCAAGAGGGCAGCCACACCTCCTCAGGGCCGGGGCTCCCAAAGCTGGACCCCAATGTGATGACCCTACATCACATCCAGGGAGCCCAAGCGGGGAGAGCTCAGAGAAGCCAAGACACGGAGGTCACCGGCGAGAGAGAGACAGGACGGCACAGGCAGGGACTCAGGCCCCTGGACTCCAAGGCCAGCCTCCTCTGCCAGGGAGGAAGCGTCGCTGCATTGTGGGTTCGAGTCCCGGCTCTGCTGAGAGCTTACGGTGCCTTTGTGCCTTCTCTGGGCCTGGGTCTCCCAGCTCCGCCACCCTGAGGCCTGAGAGTCCACAGCCCAGCACCCTCGCCTGCGAGGTGGGAACACACACAGGGCACCATCACCTGCTCTTGAGGCGCTTGCTGATGAGGTACATGGCAGCCGCCCCCACGTACTTGGCCACGGCGCCCTCCACAGCCCCGAACTTGCCCTCGTGGACGATGTAGTCGAAGGAGGCCAGGGCCTCGGTGGGCGTGCGGTACACGTTGGGGGAGATCAGATGCACCAGCCAGTCATCTGCCCACTGCCGCCACTTCATCTCCTCCCTGCAGGGATGGGAGGGAGGCGGGGATGGCCACCAGCTCCTCCCCTGACGGCCACACCCTCCAGGCCCAAGGAGCTGGGTGAAACCAGTGGGCTTCCCAAGCCATGGCCCGGAGGTACTGGACAACTGGTGGTGGAGACGGGCAATGGATAAGGCTGAGCCAAGAAGGTCCCCACTGCGGCTCAATCCCAGGCTCTGGCTCTGCCAGCCCAGCCCTGGTGGTCTCCCAGCCTCCCCCTCAGGCTCCCGCCCTGGGGAGCCCTAAGCAGCACCCTGGGGCCAGCCCCACTCACGTCCTCGCCTCCTTCCCGCCGTATAGCCGCTGGGCCTCCTTCTCGTCCAGCATGAGCCAGTACTTGTTGCAGAACTCAGTCACGTCCTTGCCCTGGTCGTTGGTGGCCTTCATGGGTGGGTAGTAAGTGATGATCTCCTCCAGAGACTGCCTTCAGGAGACACCCAGAGGCTCACCCCGACTCCTTCCCAAGGGAGACTAAGCCCTAGCCTACTACTGGCCACCCAGCCCCCGGGCAGAGAACGGAGGGTCCTGCGAGCTGGTGGGGAGTGGGGGTGGGGGGTGGGCAGAGGAAGCCCTGCCTTCAGTGAGAGAGATTGGGAGGGCTTCCCTGGTGGAATGAGATGTGCAGGGAAAGGGGGTGTGTCTCAGAGTAAGAGCTCAATGGATCTTTCTGGAAATCAAAGCGAAATGCGCACACACACACACACACACACACACACACACAGCTCCTAGGAGGGCAAGTCAGGTGCGGCACCCCCTGGAGGCCACAGAACAGAGGGGACAGTGACCAGCTCCTTACCCCGACACCAGGAAGGTCTTGAGGGCACTGATGATGACGGAGGAGTCATTCAGCTGTCGCTGGAAGAGAAAAGGCTCACTGAGCCACACTTGCTCGTGGGCCTGGGCTGAGGATTATGGGGAAAGCAGCGGACGTACAGGCGGGGAGGCCGGCCCTGCTGACCCGTGCCCATTCATCACCACTAACCCAATGCCCAAAGAGCTCGCTCCGCCCTCCAAGGCCCAGCCTCCGCCCTCCAGGCCCCTGGCCCACTCTCTGCCCGCCCCCCTGGGCACTACGGGGCAGGTGGGCTCCTAGAAGCTACACCCTAGGTTTGAAGTACTGGGCCCACAACCTGGAGATAACGCCCGTGTGATGAGTGGGGAAGCCAGCCCAGAGAGGCGGAGTGACGTGCCCTAAGTCACGCAGCCACTGAGCACCAGAGTCGAACCCTGAAACCAGAACCACCCTCAAGCTCTCAGCTTTCTGCCTCGCTTAGACCCGGCTGATATTTGGGGCAGAAGAGGGGGAGCCAGAATGGGTTGACCATGCACAACTGTGTATCAGCTACTTTCCCCCCACAACCCTCAGCCGAGGCCCAGGGCGCCCACGGCTGCAAAGCAGGGTGCCTGTGCCCGATGCTGTGCTAGACTCCAGAAGGCCTCGTGACCTGGACTACAAGGGTGGTGGAGGGGGCCCCCAACACTCACCAAGCAGTCTCCTTCCTGGGCCAGCAAGATGGGCACCTTCCGGTAGGAGGAGAACTTGATCTCGGCCCTGCGCACGGGGTTCACCTCCACCACCTGGTAGGGCAGGGCGTGGAAGTCCAGGAAGGCGCGCACCTTGCTGCAGAAGGGACATGTCTTGTACTGGTACAGGGTCAGCTGCAGGTGACTTGACAGGGACAGCTGGGTGAGAGGGAGAGAAAGGGGCCCCCTGAGCGCCACGGGGCCCCAGGCCCAGAGCCCCACGCCCACCCCCAGCAAGTCACCCCTGAGGGTAAGCTGGATGGCAGGGGCGCAGAGGAAAGGGGAGGAAGACAGGCAGGGGAGGCTCTTGCCAGTTGTGAGTAGACAGCCCAGGTTCAAGCCCCCAACCAGCAAGCTTCCCAGGGCAGGAAGCTGAGAAGCCGCCCAGGTCTGTGTAGGAAGGACCGTCTGGCTTCTGTCCAACACTAGAGGACCCTTCCCTTCTCCCTCCTACACCAAGGGGACACTGGCCAGTCCTAGGCTGTCCCAACCAAATGCAGAATAACTGCTTCCACCTGAGGTGTCCCTCTGGCTGCAGCCCCAGGGCCCGCATTTGCTGTGTGGGGTCTACCTCTGATCTCAAAGGCGGTGAGCTGTCTGGGTCAGGGGCCTGGGACCTACATTTTGGTGGGAAAGCCCCCAGCTCAGCTTGCTGGGCAGGTACCTCCTTCCTGCCCCTCTGCCAGGCACCACCCCGCTACCCAGGGGTACCCAGGAAACGGCTGTGGGTGCCTCCAAGCAGAGAAGAGGTGGCTGTGTTGGTCCTGGGTAGACTATGAAGTGTCCAGGGGGCAGGGCCACAACCCCGCTGGTAGGACACTTCCTTGCTTCTCCCGCTCCCAGGGCCACCCCTGACAGGATCAGCCTCATGGACATGCTAGTCCCGAGGATTTGAAGGTGATGGAGGGTAGAAAGAACATCGCCCCTAGGTGGCAGGTGCATCAGCTCCACTCCTGGCTCCACTCCCAGCCACAGAATAAAGTACCGCGTCCTGCACCTCCCTCACAGTCTATGGCCGCAGCCAGCCTGCGTCCATCCGTCTGTCCATCTCACTGAAGGCCTCCCTCTTTTGTCAGGCACCCTGCACTGGACCAGGTAAAATGTCTTTCTCCAGGGACTGGTCCCTCCTGATCACGTGTCCGAAGTACCGAGACCAAGGCTCGCCATCCTCAATTCTAGGGGCATTCTGGTTGTGCGTCTGCTGGCCCCTCTGGCAGCAGCGATTCTCTGCCAGCACCGCAGTGCAAACCTCCCAGTTCTCCCCGTCCTCCCTTCCCGTGCGTGTGCTCATTCAAACACCGTGCTCTTTAACGCTTCAGATAGGTCTTGGGCAGCAGATCTGCCCAAGGCTGTGCCCTGAGATTTCTCATTGCTCCCAGGGCCGCGGACTGTGCAGGCAAGTAAAATGAGATCCTTGACAGTTCTGTCTCTTCTCCGTGGATCCTGTTGTTGTTTATTGGTCCAGTTGTGAGGATTCGGGTTTTGTTTCCATTAAAGGGTCATCCAGACTGAAGTCTATAATCTTTGATCTTCAACAGCACCTGCTGCCAGTCCTCTTGGCTTTCCGCACGCCAGGCTGTGCCCTCTGCTTTGGCAGCTTGCCCATGAGCCTTCCTCTACTCCGGATGCCAGGTTCTTCTGCTTACCGTCTGGCTTCCCGATGATTTGTTCAGTATACAGATTGAAAAAGGATGGTGCAAGGATACAGCCCCGACGGAATGCCTTCCCTGATTAAAAATGCTTCTCCTAGTCTGTTTTCCGTGGGCTCCCTATGGCTCCACAGGAGCACAATGAAGTGTTCTCAGAATTCCCCTTCTCCTTGAGGCTAGCCAGAGTTTGTTATGACCCATGCTGCCTGTCAAACACAGGTAAACAACTTTCTTGTATTCTCTGCTTTCAGATGAGATTCATCAGGCATCAGCAAGGATACCCGTTTCCCAGCCTCTTCGGAACCTGGCTCTAATGTCTCGTCTGTATTGCTGCAACCATTAAAAAAAAATTATCTTCAACACATTTTACTTGCTTGTGCTATGAATGATACGGTGCAATCCTTTCTGCGTGCTACATGATACACTGAAATCGCTTTCTCTTTGGTGTGATGTCAGAATCCTTCAATTAAAACACAAATCTTCCTGGAGTACTGCGATTGGCTGCCACCCAGCAGAAACACGTGTTGCAGGATAAATCTGCCCAGAGCCTTTCCAAAGCAAGACCTCCGGGCCCATCTTCGGGACGCCCTTCTCGGGAAGTGTCTCTGGGTTTATTCTAACCTTCGAGGGGCTTCCTCAAACCCTTTAGAAAGCCGATTTTATGAGAAAGGCAATTCTAGTTAGCTGGGATCTGTGACAGCCCCATTTTACAGATGGACACGCTGCGGGTTCAAGACTGAACGCCCAATCACTCGTCCAAGGTCACTAGAGGGCGAAGGAGGCAAATCAAGTCCTAGGGTTCAGGGATGCCCAGTCCCAGCTCCCCAACCCCTGGCCCGGCCTAGCCGGTCCTCACCTGCGCAGCCGAGCCCTCGGCGCGGAGGTCCTGGCCGCGCAGGTGCCACCGCGCCGTGTGGTACAGCCCCAGGGCGCCCCCGAGGGCCAGCGCCGCGGCTCCCAGCAGCCGTGGGTTCCCTCTGCCGGCGGGGACGGCGGGGTCTGGGCCGCGTGCTGTCCCCGCCAGACCAGCCCGGCTCGGTGCCCAGAGTTCGGTCCCGGGGCGGCTGCCCAGCCGCCGGGCCAGAGCGCGCCCACCGGGCCACAGCACACGCGCGGCTAGGGCCATAGTCGCGCCGCAGTGCGGAGGGCGCCGCGGGCGGGCGCGCGAAACAAAATCTGGTCGGGTTTCCGCCCCCCTTAAAGGGGCCGCAGCGCGAGCGCCGGGCCGGTTGCCTAGGGCAACGGAGACGCCTCGCGCGTTGAAAGGACACTCCAGGGATTGGCGTGCGTCCCTCGGAGTCGGAATTCGCCCACAGGGCTGGGGCGGGGGTTGTGTTGTTGTCTTTTAGCACTTATTTTTGTATATGGCAAAATATCGCGGTCTGATCTTATTTTCTCTCAGTGGGACCGCTGTGTCCCAGCCATCACGTTACCGCACAAATGAGACGGCTTCTTTATCCCGTACTGCGTTCTCAGACAACCTTGGATTTAATTTTTGGATTTTCTGTCCTGTGGGTTTTTTTTTTTGGGGGGGGGGGTTTAGTTGAAAGTCTTGATTGTGACTTGGTTTATGGAGCAGATTCAAGACTTCATCTGGTTTCGTCTCATTCTTTGCAAACCCCTCAATGGACTTCCCCGTTTCCATCGCCCCGACTTCCCGAACCCCTTGGACTTTTGTCTTCGGGGAGATGCTCGGAAATAAACGACGGACGGTTCTAAGAGCTGGGCTCCGCCGTTCTGCTTACAGACTGTCTGGTGTTGGGCTGAAATTAAGCTGCCGGGCTGAGCTCAGGTCCAGGGCTGAAGGGACGGGAGGGTCGGATAGGGGCCGGTCCTGCGGGCCCACCCATCCGTCCCTCGCCACCCAGTAGTCGACGGGGCGCGGGTTTGGGCTTTAAAATTCATATGCTCATTAAAAAGAACATGAGCCCACACTCTTCGGGGTTATTAGGAAAAGGGACCCGTCTTTCGGGGCAATAAAAGCGGCCGGAGCAGTCACATAAGTGAATGGTCAAAGGCCCTCCGGTCTTTTTGCGCTCCCGCGCCATCACTCCAGTTCTCCTGTGACGCGAACCATAAAACTTTCCCCAAAGTCCCGGGGGCCTTGAGAATGAAACCGTCTCGGATTTTTCCCACACGGAGGGTCCTGCTACCTACCCAGAGGCCTCTGCGCCCACGATCAGGCAGAGCGGGGTTTTAAAGTGCCTTTGGCCATCTACCCTCGGAGTTCCCTCGCCCGACGTCAGAGCGCAGCACTCCTGCGCACAGGCTTCTCCGCGGGCAGCCCGGGCCGAGCCAGCGCCGACACCGGTAAAGGGGGAGGGCTCAGAGGAGGCGGGGCTGGTGTGGGGCCGGAGTGGGGCGGGGCCGAGGCGGGGATCTGAAAGTGGAACAGGCTGTGGGCGGGAGGCGGGGTCTG